AATATCTTTATTTTATTTTATATTTATATCTATATTTTATTTTATACTTGTATCTATTTTTTATTTTATACTTATATCTATATTTTTATTAGAAATTGCTGGAAATGATTTCCTTCCGCATCGATGCATGCTTCGCATCGACGTCGCATGGATTGTTGAAGACGTTGAAAAATTCTCGGAGTATTTCGTATTTTTTCACACGCAGCAATAATACGATTTTAGAGTACTTCCACAATAGCAACAGGAGAATCTTAAGATCACCATAAATATAAACATCCAAAGGATTCAAATCTTCAAAGGATTAAAAAATATGAAATATACTCCGAGAATTTTTATATAAGTATAAAATAAAAAATAGATACAAGTATAAAATAAAATATAGATATAAGTATAAAATAAAAAATATGTTTATAACTTGGAAAGGAAGCGTTTCTGAACCATATTTATATGACTTTTTCATTCTTATAATGAGTGAAATATGCTTTTAAAGTTTGGCCAACTATTTCTGAAACACTCTGTGTATGAAACATTTTTTCCTGAGTGTAAATCGTTTAAATAATATAATTCTCATTTTTTTAAATTGTCCCCAGGTACTTCGGCGCCTTAGGGCTCAAGCCCCGTAAAAACCGTATTACGGGCTAAGATTACTGTAGTAATGATTGTGTTCTGATTTAATTCTCGATTTAATTATTGATAGTTTAACACTCTAATGCACAAAAATAATGTCTATTTTTGTGAAATGGAGATTTTATAATGCGAAGTTAAAAAATTGGTGCATTCGAAAAATTCAAATTATATTAGCTTTGTGAAAAAAATTGTTGTAGCTTATATCCAGACAACAAAATCGCAACATAAGATATCTTAAAGATGCCTTTAAGATATCTATTTTTCTTTTTAATCCTGAGACCTCTTTTGCATATCTTTAAGACATCTTATATCTCGTTTTTGTCTAATGTGTTTTGTCTGATGTGTTCTTTTTATCTGAATTTTTTATATGATTTGACCTTTTGTTTCTTTCTATATTAGAGAAAAAAAAAAAGAAAAGATAAATCATGCAAGAAATTAAAAAGAATAGACCGATCAAATACGCAATCTTAAATAATGTAATTTTATTTTTTTTTTCTTAGATCATTTATTGGGATGAAAGGAGTTTTTTTATGGAGCATCGATTTATCACGCCGAGCGATGGTTTTATAAGGGCAATTGCGATTTGCAGGCAAAGACTTCTTAATTGTAGTGCCGATACTGTTATTGGCGCCCTACTAAATCGTAGGGTGAAGCAGAATGGAAATGTCGAAGCAGGTGTAATGCAGGTAAGAATTAATTGCGATTATATATTTGGAGAATGTTGCAAGAATTTTAAACAATTGCTGTTAAAATTGTTTATTACAATAGAAAACATATATGTTGATAATGATATAAAATAAATAAGAACATAAATTATAATGTTATAATTTTTTTTATAGCATTACAAAATCGAAAATGTCTTTTTTTCAAAATTTGTTTGAAGATTAAACATTTTGATTTAGATACTTTTGAGTTCTCTTTAGCAATATCAATACGAATTACATTATTAAGTTCCTCAGTCATTGAGATTAAGTCACTCATGGATTGACAGAACTGAAGTGATATTCAATTCAATAATTTATATAGTAAATAACAAAGAAGCACTTCATGTCAAACCGGGCACTTTTGAAACATCATTTGTTTTCGAATTTGTTATATTCTACAGATAAAAATATGAAACATGTGTTTTGCGAAAAAAATTTAAAATTTTTTTTGTGAAGTTATTCACGCTTGTAAGTTATCTAAATTCATAAAAAACATTGCTCATGCGAACATTCAAATTATTATATCATTGAAACCATTAGTACAAAAAAAATGCAATTTTTTTTCTCAAAATACGTGTCTCATATTTTTATTTATAGAATATGTCAGCAAATTTAAGAAAAAATTAAAAATGATGTTTCGAAGGTGCCTGGTTTGACGTGGAATGCTTCCAAAGCTAAAATTAACTGCAAAATGATTTATTTCAATATATTAAGAATCATATCAAGAAACTTTGGATAAATTCAAATTTTTCAAAATTATAAATAATTCAAAAATAATTTGTCATCATTTTTTAACAAACACTTATTATGTGTTATAAGCTACTTACGTTTAATTATCTTTGAAAATCGGAATTTTTAGTATGTCTTTATAATAAAATAAATGATTAATAATACTTTACAAGCTTGATATTTCGTAATTAAGAATAAGAATAAGAATAAGAATAAGAATAATTAATATAATAAATCGCAGCGAAAGATTATTTCTTCTTATCTCTCTAAGTTAAATGATATAATGTGTCATTTAGGTATCTCTTGTGCGACCAGAGATGCCACCCGAAGTGAGCAGATGGATGGAAAGTAACGAAATATCATCAGCGATGTTGAGACAGGAACCGATAACGATAACGACGCGTTGCTGACAAACGGCCCCCGCGACGTCCTGCGGCGTTTTAGCATCGATATACACAACCACGACTGTGTAATAAGCGGAAAATGCGGAATGCAATCTTTATTCTTAATTACCCGGATGATGGATAGGGGAAATTCCGAGAAAACAAGACCGGATATTAAATATTCTCGCTTCTTGTGTTTAATTGTCTTTGAGAAGCGGAAGAAGTGAACTTAGCGCGGCCTTATGACAAAATAAATGATTAATAATGACCTACTATAAGCTTGGTATTCTGTAATCGAGGATAAAAATAATTAATATAATTACAATAAGTGATTATTTTTTCCTCTTTTTTATTGAAACATAGATTGATTAAATTCTTAGAAAAAGAAAATGATTATAAGTAAATTCTAAAAAAAATTGTTTTGACGAAAAATAATTTTTTGTTACTTTCGTATTTTATAATTATACAGCTTTGATAAAAAAATATTAGGCACCTACATTTTTTTATTTGGATTTCTTCTATCTATATTGTTACTTACTGGTTACTGATATTATATAATTTTAAAGGATATTTAAAACAAAAGATAATTTATAGCAATTGCCAGAAAAATTAATTAAAATTAATTAAAAACAATTAAGCTCTAACTTTAAATAATGGTTATGATGCCTAATATTTTCGAATAAGGTTGTATAATATTTCCTAATTAACATTAAATATTCAGATAGATAGAAAGTTCGATTCGTATTCTCAATATGCTGAATATTCTACAGTAAAAGAACAATAAAAAAATCGTAATGTATAAATGTTGATGAAACATTTAGAATATTGTATGAATATAGCTTTATAAGGAATACACAGCTCTATAAAGAATACTTCGCCGACAGAGGATCGCGACAGAGAGTTACTTGTAAATACGAATTATCTTGGGAAAGAATATAAACACAGTATTTCGCTTGTAAAAAGTAATGCCCAAAATTGGTCTTCAAGGTAAAAGCATGAAACGCGTTCTTCATAATAAAATTTTGTTTAAAAAGTGAGTTAGGGACGACCGGAATTTCTAGAATAATGATGTATGTACAGCAGATCACAGGTTGCAGGAAAGGTTGCAACCTTTCAAGCAACTTTTTTTTATGGATTTCGGAATACCTACTCACCAAGCGACTGATTCTAATTTGTGGATCCATGAATAGAACCAATTCGATCGGTTGTATACATAAATGAAATTTTTATTTAATAAAATTTGGTATTTAAATATTGTTTTTACATTTCGTAAATATTTCGAAATATTTCGGATATACTCTTGGAATGTTCTTTTTGGAATTTTAAGAGTTTTTTACGAATCTTTCATGGAATATTTAACATTCATATAGCTGGGATTATTTACTGAGCGTAAAAAATTAATGTAACATATTATGTTAAAATGTCGAAGTATTAATTGAAATTTGGCATATAGTGGACATTAAGAAAATTGTGTAACTGTACAATTTAATATTTTTACATTAATGTTATTTAATATTTTAATAAGAGAAGAACACCTCAAAATTAGAAGGTATATTTTTTCAGGAATGGTAAATAACGCGTTTCCATCTTTGGACTTTTTTATGTGCATTAATTTATCACTGAAATAAATGTTACTATTGTATATATAAATATAGAATATTTTCTTTTAACATGCTATTAGCAATTATGATTAAATATATGTTATATGTTACGCATTAAAATTTTTTTCTACATAACATTGATTGTGAATACGGCAGGGAAATAATATTAACATTAAATGCAACATACTAAATATTTACATTTTATTGTAACAATGGATGCTTGTGTATTTAACTAGTATATTAGGTGCCTTCACACATTGAAAGAAATATATCTATTTATTAAACTATGAACACGTCATTTTGTAATAACTTTTTTTTCTGAAGAAGCTATGATATTTTACTTTGTTTTTTGCTTATACATAATGACTACAGACTTCATTTGTAATAGGATATGCGCATATGTAAGCTTAAATAATTTGCTGATTAACAAGGTCAATGACTTATTAACATTAATGGTAGTCCATTTTATTTCTCTATAGCTGTTAAATTCCTTTATTGTACCTTATCTTATGTTTAATTGTATAATTAAATGTGTAAATGTATAATTATACATTTATATTATATATACATTTATATTATATATAATTATA